AGCACAAATAAACAGGATCATCAATGAAAGAGGAGAAATCACAACGGACACAGCAGAAATCAAAAGAATAATCAGTAACTACTATGAACAGTTATATGGAAACAAGTTTAACAATCTAGAGGAGATGGACAAATTCCTACAACTCTACAATCACCCAAAGCTAGATAAAGAAGAAATAGAACACCTAAACAGACCAATTACAAGCAGCAAAATTGAAATGGTAATCAAAAACCTCCCCAAAAACAAAAGCCCAGGACCTGATGGATTTACAAATGAATTCTACCAAACATTCAGAGACGAATTAGTGCCTATCCTTCACAAACTCTTCCAAAAAATTGAGAAGGAAGGGACAATACCAAACACGTTCTATGAAGCCAACATTACACTAATACCAAAACCGAACAAGGACAACACAAAAAAGGAAAACTACAGGCCAATCTCCCTAATGAACACTGATGCAAAAATCCTCAATAAAATTTTAGCTATCAGAATCCAACAATGTATCCATAAGATAATTCACCACGACCAAGTAGGATTCATTCCAGGGACACAAGGATGGTTTAACATCCGAAAATCAATCAACGTTATCCAACACATCAACAAAGAAATATAAAAACCATATGATAATATCAATAGATGCTGAGAAAGCTTTCGACAAAGTGCAACACCCATTCATGATAAAAGCCCTTGAAATTCTTGCGATACAAGGAACATACCTCAACATCATAAAGGCCATCTATGACAAGCCAACAGCCAGTATAATTCTCAATGGTGAAAAGCTGAAAGCAATTCCATTAAGATCTGGAACAAGACAAGGATGCCCACTCTCACCACTGCTTTTCAATATAATACTGGAAGTCCTAGCCAGAGCAATAAGACAAGAGAAAGACATGCAAGGAATCCAAATAGGAAAAGAAGAAGTCAAACTATCACTATTTGCAGATGATATGATAATATACATAGAGAACCCCAAAAACTCCACAGAAATAATTCAACTCATCAGTCAGTTCAGTAAAGTGGCAGGATACAAAATCAACACGCAAAAGTCAGTAGCCTTCCTATACACAAACAATAAATCTGAAGAAGAAGAAATCAAAAAAACCATCCCTTTTGTTATTGAAACAAAAAAAATCAAATATTTGGGAATAAATCTAACAAAAGAGGTAAAGGACCTATACAAAGAAAACTATAAAACACTGTTAAAAGAAATAGAAGAAGACACAAAGAAATGGAAAGACATCCCTGCTCATGGATTAGAAGAATAAACATTATTAAAATGGCCATCCTTCCAAAAGCAATATACAGATTCAATGCTATTCCAATCAAAATTTCAATGTCATTATTCAAAGAAATAGAACAATTATTGATGAAATTCATATGGAATCACAAAAACCCCGAATAGCCAAAGCTCTCCTGAAAAAAAAAGAAGGGAATGGAGGCATCACACTCCCAGACTTCAAACTATACTACAAAGCCATAATCATCAAAACTGCATGGTATTGGAACAAGAACAGACACGCAGACCAATGGAATTGAATAGAAAATCCAGAAATAAACCCACAGATTTATGGTCAGCTAATATTTGACAAAGGAGCAAAGAATATGCAATGGAGCAAAGAAAGTTTGTTCAATAAATGGTGCTGGGAAAACTGGGTCACTACATGCAAAAGAATGAAGCTTGACTACTACCTCACACCATACACAAAAACCAACTCAAAATAGATTAAAGAACTAGACATAAGACCTGAAACTATAAAATACATAGAAGGAAATATAGGCGAAACACTACGGGATATGCACATCAAAGACATCTTTACAGACACATCACCCAAAGCAGTGATAGTGAAGGCAAAGATGAACAGCTGGGACTACATCAAATTAAAGAGCTTCTGCACAGCAAAAGAGACAATAACAAAAACAAAGAGAAATCCCACCAACTGGGAGAACATTTTTGCATCCAACACTAATGATAAAGGACTGATCACAAAAATCTGCAAAGAGCTGAGGAGACTCAACAACAACAAAGAAAATAATCCAGTCAAAAAATGGGCAGAAGAGCTAAAAAGAAACTTCTCTGAAGAGGAAATGCAAATGGCCAACAGGCATATGAAAAAATGTTCAACATCACTTGTCATCAGGGAAATGCAAATCAAAACTACCATGAGATACCATCTTACACCAGTGAGAATGGCACATATTAAAAAAACTAGCAACAACAAATGTTGGCGAGGGTGTGGAGAAAAAGGAACTCTTCTGCACTGTTGGTGGGAGTGCAAACTGGTCCAACCACTATGGAAAGCTGTGTGGAGATTTCTGGACCTACTAAACATAGAACTTCCATATGATCCAGCAATTCCACTCCCCTAGGTATTTACCCAAAAGACACAGAAACATCAATTCCAAAGAGCACCTGCACCCCTATGTTTACAGCAGCACTGTTTACAATAGCTAAGCTTTGGAAACAACCCAAATGCCCAAAAATAGATGACTGGATCAAGAAGATGTGGTACATATATACCATGGAATATTACTCAGCATTCAAAAAAGATAAACACATGCAATTTGCAGCAACATGGATGGCGCTGGAAGGGATCATGCTCAGCGAAATAAGCCAAAAAGAAAAAGAAAAATACCGGATGGTCTCACTCATAGCAGGAATCTAGAAAACTTAAATAAGGGACCAGGAAAATGAATAACTTTAAGAAAATGAAAATCAAAATCAACAAAAAACTATGAACCAGAGACACTTTTAGGGGGGCGGGGGCGGGAGGGGAGGGATTGGGGTCAGAATGGGGGGGCTGCAATTGTATGGGGAATATAACAATAAAATTTATTATTTAAAAAAAAAAAAAAAAACAAAACATTCACCTCACCTGTGGGTAGAAGAGACACGTCCTCAGCACTGACTTTAAAAGACCATGGGGTTCTCCCACTGACTGGGAGAACATTTTTGCACACAACTCTAATGATAAAGGACTGATCACAAAAATCTGCAAAGAGCTGATGAGACTCAACAAAAACAAAGAAAATAACCCAGTCAAAAAATGGGCAGAAGAGCTAAAAAGAAACTTCTCTGAAGAAGAAATGCAAATGGCCAACAGGCATATGAAAAAATGTTCAACATCACTTGTAATCAGGGAAATGCAAATCAAAACTACCATGAGATACCATCTCACACCAGTGAGAATGGCACATATTAAAAAAACTAGCAACAACAAATGTTGGCGAGGTTGTGGAGAAAAAGGAACTCTCCTGCACTGCTGGTGGGAGTGCAAACTGGTCCAACCACTATGGAGAGCTGTGTGGAGATTTCTTGACCTACTAAACATAGAGCTTCCATATGATCCAGCAATTCCACTCCTAGGTATTTACCCAAAGGACACAGAAACAGTAATTCCAAAGGGCACCTGCATCCTTATGTTTATAGCAGCACTGTTTACAATAGCTAAGCTTTGGAAACAACCCAAATGCGCAAAACTAGATGACTGGATCAAGACAACATGGTACATATATACAATGGAATATTACTCAGCAATCAAAAAAGATAAATACATGCAGTTTGCAGCAACATGGATGGAGCTAGAAGGGATCATGCTCAGCGAAATAAGTCAGAAAGAAAAAGAAAAATACCAGATGGTCTCACTCATAGCAGGAATTTAGAAAACCTAAATAAGAGACCAGGAAAAAGACTAATCAATACAAAGTAAAAATCAAAATCAACAAGCAACTATAAACCAGAGACACACTACAAGGGGGTGGGGGGGCAGGGGGGGGACACTGGGAAAGGAAGGACTAGAGTCAAAATAAGGAAGGAGGTGCAATTATATGGGGGGAATATAACCAAAATGAAAATGCATACTTTGTGCAAAGATGAAAAAAGATGTAAGAATTATATAAAATAAAATATTTATTTTTAAATTAAAAAAAGAATGTCTTCTAATAAAGAGATCAACTGAATGTTGTCAACTCAAAAAAAAAAAAAAAAAAAAAAAAGACCATGGGGTTCTGATGACATCAAATTGATGGGGCCAGGACAGGTACCCAGGGGACTAAATGCTTAGTCTCTGCTATTCCCTTCTAGTTATTCCCATCTCCTCCCCAATCCCATGGTTCCAAAATTTTCCCTCCCACTGGGCTGGGACAGAGCACTGGAGTGGCTAAGCACTGAGGACTTGGGGTTCCACCCCCAGGCCAACTGGGCAGCTCCTGAATGGGATGGGGTGTGGGATGGCCAAGCCCAGCAGACATGGTACTATGCCCAGCACAGTGCTTGGTAGAGGGCAGCACTCCTTTCCCTGGCCTGAAGATCAGGGGACCAGACAGTACTGAGGGACTGGGGTGGGGGGGGTGAGCAGAAAGGGTACATGAAATAGAACCCTCCAGTAGTCTGCCCTGCAGAGGTGTGCCAGCCCAGGAGCTGAGGGCCCCAAAGCAGAAACTCCTGAAGGTCTGGGTGTTCTATGGTAGACAAAGAGGCGCGCCCAGCTGCTTCGCGGTTGAAGGACAACTCCAACAAGGAAAAACACCCCACCACCTTCCTTTGGAGAAAGCCTGGAATACGCCAACTCCAAACCCTCTCACTGAAGGCTCCGGGGGAGCTGGGCTCCAGCTGAAGAGGAAGCAAGGAAGCCTGGATACTCCAAGGGGGCAGTGGCTGCCTCTGTCCTCTACTCCTTGGTCTCCCCACTGACTTCAGATGACTAGGTCAAAAGAAAGGGTTAAAGTCTTAAACCCAAGCAATCACAGCTGGGCTCAGGGAGGAGGTTAGTGTTCCCTGAGCTGCCCCACCCTCATCCCAGGGGTCTGAACTCTCAGTCCCAGGCCTCACGTGCCAGCTACTGGGTGAGGTTCCCCTTGGGGGGGCAGCGGGCCACTCTCCCAAACCAATACCAACCGCCGCCTGCTCCCTCTGCGCTCCTTGCCGAGCTCCCCCCTGAGCCTCTGATTGGCTGAGCCCCTGGGCCCCTCCCCACTCTTCTTCCCCCCGCCCCCCCCAACCCCTGGTGAAAACTGCGGGCACCAGGCTGGATGCAGCATCTGGAGGCGGCAGTCATCCGAAGGAAGCTGCAACCAGAGAGGACCGGAGTCCAGGTGGGTGCTGGGTGCTGGAGTCGGGGTGAGACTCGGGCGCAGGGACAGCCCTCGGGTGAGACTCGGGCGCAGGGACAGCCCTCGGCGCCCTTGCAAGCCCTCCCATCCCAAGGGCAATGGTGGGGGCGTCCTGGGAAAGATCCGGACTGGGCCGCGCAGTGGGGAGGGGTCTGCTTCCCAGGCAAGGGCGGGAGTCAGATGCAAGTGCTGCAAGCCAAGGGCAACGCTGATCCTAGCTTTTTGGGTGAGGCGCTCCCCCACTTTCGCCCGCTGGAGGACCGTTGTCTGGGCCGGAGTGCTGGTGGGGAACCAGGGGGAAGGGCACCAAGGACAGCCATGGGTTATGTTCTCTGCCTACAGCCACCCCCAAACCCAGCTAGCAAAAGCGGAGCGGTGAAATGGTGGGGGGTGGCGGGGACCCGAGAGAAGGGAGGGCAGCAGGCTGCAGGAATCACTCTGGCCTGCGACCTCGCGCGGCTGGCAGCCGTGCGCCCTCGGAGAGGGAAACCGCAGTGCCGCGGGCGGGGACTGGGAACTAGGCGGGCAGACGGGGGAGGGGAGAACTGGAAAAGGATGGGAGAGGGGGAAGGGGACCTCAACGGGGCAGGACTAAGATTGAAATATGGAAATTGAATAAGGGTGGGGCTCGCTAACGGCTGCAGGAAAGGGAGGAAGGGCAAAGCTTCTCTGGGTTCTGGGCGCAGGAAGGAGACCCAAGGTAGTGGAAACCCAGACAGACTCGCCTGCCCAGCTGCTTTCCCGCCCCCTCCCCTGGCCTCTACCTCCCTCTCTAGCCTCAGCCCCATTTCTTCCCTTTGGAGCTACAGCTGCCGTTTCCACAACCTGGCACCCTCCTCCATAACTCAGCATCTGTCTGGGAATCAAAGCCACATGACACCACTTCTTCCCCCAACAGCACCTCCCAGTACCTCTCAGCTAGGGACAGAGGAGATGTGACTGTAGCCTCAGGCTCCCAAGGGCTCCAGTCTCACCCTGCCGCAGTGCTAAGTGCTGGGGATCCTGGACACACTTGGGTACACACCCCTCCAGCGGCCTCTCCCTGGCAAGCAACACTGGCCAGGACAGGCTAGGGGACCTGCTCCATGTTGCCTCGCCATCATGTTGGACCAGCAGAGGCTAAAAAAAACCACCACCAAAAAAGGCAAAATACATTGCCTAGATAGGAGACTACTGATGCTGGGCCGGAAAACTCCAAGTCCCGGAACAGAGGAAGCATCCTTGGTTCCTGTGCAAACAGAGCATATGAAATTGGAGATCACTATCACTTCCTATCACAAACATCCAGGAACACCCTTAGCTGTGTGCCAACTAAATCCCTCAGTCACACGCATACTAGACATCACCCCCCACCACACACAGAGTCACCTAAGAAGAGGGAGTAACCACAGTATCAGGTGGCTTTTTCCTTAATCCCCACTGCAACCTTATGGGTATTTAGAGCTCAGAGACTCATTCATTCCCTCAATATCTTGGGGGTCTCTGTGATATGCCAAGAATTGTTTGGGGCAAGTTTTCTTCTGAACAACAACAAAAAAACAAAAACAGGAAGTCTCTGAATAGGGAGTTTTAGTTCCCAGTTTTAGTTCTCAGGACAGAATTTTAGTTCTATAAGAAAAAGAGAGTGCTGGCGATGGTTTGCACAAGGTAACTATGCTTTACACTGCAGAACTGTACACTTAAAAATGGTTGATTGTAAATCTTGTGTTATGTTTAGTTTACCACAATTAGAAAAACAGAATTCCCTCCCTTCCTGAAGGGAAGAGGAAAGGGTAAAGAAAAAATCACTGATTCAAAGTCACAAGACTAGAAAGTGTTCAGTCGCCAAGCACAGATACATGCCATAAAGTGTGTTCTCCCTTCCTCTTGCTTTCCCTAAGGGGGTAAGAACCAAGTGGTGGTGTCATATTCACTGAGAAGTAGGGACTGTTTGCAATAGCAAGACATGGAAACAACCTAAATGTCCATCGATGGCTAAATGAGTGAAGTAGATTTGAGGTGTGTGTATGTGTGTGATACACCCCAGTGATGTTCCTTAACAGCAATGAAACATTCAAAACCATTAGATGGTTTTGACATGTATGAACATCAGAGAGCGTACTTACATAAACCTAGATGGCACAGCCTACCACCCACATTGGCCATATGGTATAGACTATTGGGACCAACATTTTAGTCCCCTGCCAAAAAGTCATCAAGTAACATGTGACTGTATTTGTAGTGGAATATTATTCAGCAATAAAAAAGGAAATCCTGCCATTTGCAACAATGTGGCTAAAATTTGAGAGCATTATGTTAAGTGAAATAATTCAGAGAAAGAAAATACTATATAATCTCACTTATGTGTGGCATCTAGAAAACAAACTGAACTCATAGAGAACAGATTAGTGGTTGCCAGAGGTGGAGGATGGGCAAATTGGATAAAGGTGGTCAAAAAGTAAGGGGGAAAAAAGGGATGAAGGGTAAAGACAGGGGCTTGGATCCCCACCATGCCATTATGGCATTTCCACCAGGGGCCCTAGCTCTGGCAATAAGTGTGGGCACATGTGGCCCATCTCTTGGCTGATTTGTAAACCCTGTTCCTACCCTAGATCCTGGACTGAGCACTGGACACCATGAACCCCACCATTGGCATCGTTCTTCTGCTCACAGGTACTGGGCAAGGGGCAGGGCTGGGATTCCAGACACCCTGGCTAGCTTCTCCCTTACAACTTCAGAGGGTGGAGACAGTGGAGGCACAGGATCCTCCCTCATCCCTAAATCAGCTAATCCATGTGGTGGGTCTTCTGCCTGCCTGAGGTGGGTTTTAGGAACATTTCACTAAGCCTGCCCCATACAACTGAATTGGAATCTTCAATAGAATCCAGAACCTGCATCAACTCCCGAGGATCCCCTGCCCTGGAACACTTGGTGGGACCCAGGATGAGAGCAGACGGGGAGGGAGGTTGGGGCCTGCTGAAGTTGAACTGACTCTTGGGGAACTCTGGGGTGGGGAGAGGAGCTCAGAGGGCCGGCCCTGGTGCTCTCCCTGGCCAGGCCCTTTTCTAGTGGTAATGTCGGTGGGAATTCCCCTTTCCTGCAAGACCCCCAACTTGGAGGGGGCATGGCTGGTGCCAGTTTTGCAGGTGGCCTGTGGGCAGAAGGTGACCAGCCTGACGGCCTGCCTGGTGAACCAAAGCCTTCGTCTGGACTGCCGCCATGAAAATGCAACCACCTTGCCCATCCTATACGAGTTCAGCATGACCCGGGAGACAAAGAAGCACGTGCTCTTTGGCACAATTGGGGTGCCCGAGCATGCATACCGCTCCCGAACTAACTTCACCAGCCAGCACAACATCAAGGTCCTCTACTTGAATGGCTTCACCAACAAGGATGAGGGGGTCTACACATGCGAACTCCACCTCCCTGGCCAGCCTCTCAGCATCTCCAACAGGAGTGTCTCAGTGTACAGAGGTAAGGCCAGCCCCCAACAAGGCCCCGTGGGCTGGGAGAGGCAGGCTGGGGAGGAACAAGCTAAACAGAGCATCAGGCAGACCCTTGGACTGGGCCCCTCACACCATACTCCCTCTCCCCTTCCCCCGGCTGTAGCTGGGTGCCCTGGGAACCACTGCCTCTTCTCAGGGAAGAGCTAAGGGGACAACTGATGGGCAGAGAGGTAGAGCATGATGCACCATGAGGGTGGGCAAAGCACTTGGTGTCCCCAACTCTCCTCACCGCCCCCACCCCAGAAGACAAGCATGGCACTAGCTGCCTCGCCCAGTTTTCTCATGCTGATGCTTAGTAAAGATGTCATAGGTGTTTGTTCAAGGGCTCAGCCACCTGTAAATGAGGGTGATGGTTGGTTTTATTGGATCAGGTTCCAGCTAAGACATCATGGCACCAGACTCCCCAGGGGAAATGCCCCCTTGCTCTGGGCCTATGCCTGCCTGAGTCCTGGTCCCTCTTCATTCTTACTCTACCTCCGTTCTCTCTCCTCAGACAAACTGGTCAAGTGTAAGGGCGTAAGCCTGCTGGCCCAGAACACCTCGTGGCTGCTGCTGCTCCTGCTCTCCTTGCCCCTTCTGCATGCCATGGATTTCATCTCCCTGTGACGGGCTGGGCCCATGGAGGACACAGGAAGCCACACGGCTCAGTCCAGAGATCCTACTTCTCTGAGTCAGTTGATCCCCTCCTTCAATCCTTCACACCCCTGGGAGACATGGGGGCCCTGCATTGCATGCCATTATCCACCACTCCCCCACAGCCAACCCACCGCCACCTCACACCTTCTCCGCACGCCACTGGCTGTCTTTTTGTACTCTGTTCCAGAGCTGCTTCTATGTGGTTTATTTAAGGGTTATCCTTCCTTTCTTTGGGAGTTTGTGAAAACTCCAGGGTCAGGGACCTGATGGAGAGTGAGGGCATGGGAGGGATAGTACAGTGAAGGGGTACCAGTCCTGGGGGTCATCCTTGCCCACTCGGGCCAGATAAAGGAGAGACCTAGATGAAGAGAGGGGTGGAGGTGTTTGGGCACAGCACATCCCTCAGCAGGCGGGATGGTGCTGAAGACCCAGATGTAAGGGTCCCATGAAGCATTTGTGGCCACCGTGTGAGGAGGGAACTAAGCGTCTCTGGATCATTCTCAGCCCCAGCCAAAAGCTGTCTGTCCCCTTACCACTGCAGGAGTCCCCTGGGGGCCTTGGGCCAGGGGCCCAGTCCAGTGAAAACACAGAGTCTAGTGCTAATGGAAGACTGGAGAGGGGCTAGAAGTGGGGGTCAGCACCCCTCCCTATCAGAGGAAGCTGAACACGGGAGCCTACTGTGCAGCACTAGCTCAACCAGCAGTTGAGAAGAGGGCAGAGGAAGACAAGCTCCCACCCCACCCAGGCTGTCCAGAGCTTCTAAGAGCCTTGGGAACTCACTGGAGGCAGTAAGTCAGGCTGGGTGGAGCCCCAGAGTCTCAGAGTTTGGCCAAAGTGTTTTGAGGAGAGACCCTTCCCTGCCAGCCCCAAACAGCTGGTGCCTGAGCCCTCAGAGGGTAGAGGTCCTCTACCCCACAGACCTGCCTTCTCAAGGACCTGGGGGTCCGGGGGCAGGCCACAGAGTAAGACATGTTGTGGGGCCTGCCTCGGGAGATGGCTTTTCCCAATACCCAGCTCCCCACCCAGCGGCTCTGCCCCATCCCGTGACCGCGTGTAGTGCCACACAGCTTATGGCATCTCATCAAGGAAAAAGAAAACTGCACAATAAAATCAGCCTCTGGTATCTGTCTTTCTGTATGTCTCTGCTTTGCTCCTCCGTCTCTGTCCCCAGGCCTGTCTCCCTCCCTTAGCAGGGAATCCAGGAGGTCCGACCTGCCACATCTCCCTCTCCCCCACCTCCCTCAGCCCTGTCTGCCCCCTAGGGTGTGCCACTGCATGCTGGGCTCAGAATGACTCTGACACAGACATGTTTGCCCAAATAAATGAGTGGTCCATCTCTGCTGACTCACCTCCATCGTATGGGGAGAGCCACAGGCCCTTGCTCCTGAATATGCTAATAAGCCCTGAGGTATAGGAATCTGCTTTTTCTTAGATCTGGCTGTTCTCAGAAATACCCCCTCAGCTTGCACCTGCTATAGAGGGGTGGGGGGCCTCTGAACTCCCTCCAGTTCAAAATAAAAATGTCAGACAGCACGGAGAGAACCCAGGAGCCAGAGTGCAAGCATTTCTTCTCAAATCCAGTGACTATATAAAGGACTGGACGTAAAGGACTGGAAGGTAGGGTGAGGTCCCTGATGCCCATCCCCTAAAAATCAGTGAGTACAACGTGGACAAGCTTGGCATTGGGGCCTAGAACAGGATCCCAGAGTGGTTCTGGGCTTCCATTGCTGGCAGAGTGAAGTAGCCCCAAGCCAGCCTTCCCTGCTTTGCCAGGGAATTTGGGGGAGGAGGCTGACTCATTTGGTATTTATTGCTGGCTGGGGTGATTATTTCTGAGCATTTGCTTAAAGGCCCGGGATTTAAATTCACGCCACTTGTTCCCAATCTTCCGGATACCTTCCTTGAGGCCTGTGGTGGCCCCTATAGAGACTATGCCCAAAGAGGGAAGGAGAAGCCCAAAGGGACGGGGTAGCTACTTGTGTCACCATCCATGTGGCCTGCCCATCCCATGTGGATTAGTCTGGGCTCTCCAGAAGTAGGGACCTAGAGACATAGGCCCTCTTGTTCTGCCTGGCTCAGTGCCGTGCCATGAAAATGGCAAGAGCCTTTATTGGGGAAGGCAGCTCAAATGCCACCCTCAGGGCAGAAAGAGTTAAAGCCTGAAGGTCTTTCTGGAAGGAATTGGGAAGCCAAATGTGAAGATTTAACTGCAGGAACAGCATAAGACAGGCACACAAGTGCTGCCTCCTAGGAAGCCTTTGTCATACCCTGATTTCATTCCTTGAAGACTTTAGTAGCTACACTCTCCAAGGATCCTGGGGAGGTGGTGGTGTCCACTTCTGTAACCACGCTTGGGGAGGAGCACCTGAAGCCCAGAGTGGCATTAGCTTAGGAAGTCAGAGGCTGGGAGAGGACCAGGGACAACAGAAAGGCAGGAAAGGAGAACGGACTAGAAATACCCATATGACTTAAATTCAGGACTATCAGGCCAGCCCAGAAAGACTATGCTGTGGGCTGGAGCTGTAGGCTTCCACAGCAGGCAATGACAGCACCTGTCCCTCTCTGACCTGGTGGGAGGGTCTTATGGAGGCTGCAGTACATCATAGTGGCCTGGCTAGGTCACTAGGGCAAGGGCCTGCACCGCCCACATGCCTCACACCCCAACCCATCAGCTCCTCCGTGCTCCAGACCTCTTTTCATGTTCAGCTCAACCATCTTACTCCCTACCTTAGGATGTAGAATTCTTGCTCAGTAGCAACCCCCTTCCCATACCCCTGTTTCTGAATAGGTCATCCACAGAATCAGAGGACTATATGCACAAGGTACAGTGTGTCTCCCAAAATCTAGGGAATGGCAAGGGGGTCAGCACGAGAACACCAATAAATCTCCACAGCATCCAAGAACCTGTGGAAAGCAACCTCCAGCCTCCGCAGCCTGGCGCCACACCCTGTGCATGCAGCTTTTGTGTTGTGGAGGGCACATTTGTCTTCACTTGTAAAAGAAGCAAATCCCAGGTCAAGAGTGAACTATTCCTCACAGGCCACTGAGGAAATGCTGGGGCTGGAGAAGAGTCCTGGCAAAGTGCAGGGGTCATCAACTTTCTCCTGCTCAACCCATGAACACTCAGGACAAAGGAGGGAATGTTGGCCTCAGGAGACCCAGACTCCAATTGTCCCCCAACACCTCAGAGAGGATGGTGTCCTGAGAAGACTCTGGGGAGGCATCACTGCCTGACAAAAGGAAGATGTGGGGGCAGGGAAGGTACAGACGTGGGACGTAATGTAGAGGGCAAGTTCCATGGAGGCCAAGTTTGGCTCCATGACCAGAGGTATCATTAATGGCTGGAGCTACCCAGCAGCAGAGGTGGGGGGGGGTGTCTGGCAGCAGGTGTGGTCAGTGGAGGCTCCCTTCCCCGCCCCCAACCCAGACTGCAGTAAAGCAGGTTCCTGAATAAGGTGAGAGTCTCAACTAGAGGACAGTAGTCACTCTGCCCTTCAGTGCTTCACTTGTATAATTTTTAAAATAAGATGGCTTGGCTGGAATCATTATTTTTACCCACTCTGTGCTAAAAGGTGAAAGACACAGCCCCTGGATGAAGGGTCCACAGTCCAGTAAGAAGCAAGGAATTTCAGTGCACTGATCAATGCTATGAGGCAGGGAAGCTGTGGCAGACACTGCTGGGAGTTCCCAGCAATATGATCCACAAATTAGAATGGGGACATGTAGTCCAGAACAAAGAATGAATTTGCCAGCTCCTTTGCAGCAAGATTCATTTATGTGGCTAAGTTCTGTCCAATGAAACAAAAGCACAAAATAATATATGTACTTTCTATGACGTGTTCTTAAAGGGAACATGTCTTTCTCCCCCTTTTGCCTTCATGCTGGTTGGAAGATGGCATTGATGGCTGGAACTGGTGCAGCCATTCTGGGCTATGAGATGGAAGATGTGTGTTACAACTGACAAAGCATAAATAACAGCCTGGATTCCCAGTGATGGTAGAGTCGTCACAGCAGCCGTGGACTAACCTTACTTGAGCTACTGTTACTTGGAATGTCTGCATTTATAGCTAAACCTCAGCATACCTTAAGAAGTCATTATTTAACACAACTAAATTGTACATTTAAAAATGGTTAAGATGGTATATTTTATAATGTGTTTCTTACCACAATTAAAAAAAAAAAAGAAGCCAAAAGTCAGATTTGTAGAGACAGCATGCAGAATGGTGGTGGACAAGGGATGGAGGAGGGAAGGGGAAGAGTTATAGCTGAGTGTGTACAGAGCCTCAGTTTTGCAAGAGTCCTGTGACTGGACAGTGGTGATGGTAGCACAACCGTGAATGTACTTCATGCCACTGAACTGCACACTTAAAGATTGTTGAGATGGTGAATTTTATGCTAGAAGCATTTTACCATAACTTTGTTTTTTTAAGCAGCCAAAGCACAAGGGAACTGTTTGGAGTGTTTACATGAGGGCACACATTTGTCAAAATCATCAAACTGTACACTTAAGATGGGTGAATTTCATCCAAAGTAAATTATATCCCAATAAGGTACCATGGAAACAGATGTATGTAGGCCCCTCTGCCAGCCTAAAGGACTTCCCAAAGGAGGAGTTACGCATAGGCATTAGCACAGAAAATAGGCTCTACTATCCTGTAAGCTGATTACAAGGGAAGAAATTGTATTTTATTTCTTCAATAGCCTAAAAAATGTGGGAGGAGGAAGTGGAAGCCACTGTGGGCTCAGTCTGAGGACAGCTGCCTCTTCTGGGTGCCTCCCAGCTGCTGATAGATACAAGAGCTCTCAGCACACAGGTCACCATCAGGGCCCCTAAAGAAGGGTGCCAGTCAATATTCGCTCAGATGTCCACTCAGATGTGCACATTCCATGCAGGTGTGGTCACCTGCGTGGAGTAATGAGAACAGAGAAGTTCCTACCCCATAAAACTTGCATGTAGAAGATGGACATTAAGCAAGTAAACCAGTAAATATATTGGATCATTACAGATTGGGGTCATTTGTATGTAGGAGGTGATAAGAGAAAATGACAGAACTTTAGATGGGATGATCAGGGAGAGTCTGGGGTGCTGGGGCTTTTGAGCTGAGACAAAATGAGCAAAAGTCAGGCACTTAAAGAGCCACAAGAAGTACCACAGTACTTCTTGGGAAGTACCACTTGGGAAGTACCCTTCTTGGGAAGGGCACAGTCAGGGTGCACAAGCAGGCAGGGGCACAAGATGTCACTGAAGAGTAGGTGTGAGCAGGCCCCCCATGGCTTTGGAGGTCATGGGGAAGAGTTCAAAGATTTTATCTAATAATGTTTTCAGAAGATCCCTCTTGCGGCTCTATAGGAAATAAATTGGAGAAGAGTTAAGAGTAGAAGCAAGAAAGCAGGAGGCTATCATAGCAGTCCTAAGAGATAATGCAGCTTGGACAAATATAGTGGCAAAAACAGAGAGAAGTGGTGACTTTGAAATATATTGAGAGTGAAAGCCGAGTGCACAGATGAAATCTGAGTTAGGTTTGGGGGTTTTATCGATACCTATAGCTGAGTGTAGGTATTAAGATATTTTACCACTAAGGGAAACTGGGTAAAAGGAAAACAGGAGCTCTTTATACCGTCTTTGAAACGTTTTATAAATCTATAGTTATATTTTTTAAGTTTTTATTTTTCATTCACAACAACCAAGTATAACTCCAGAGGGAGGAAAATGAGAATTTTAATCATAGCACCTTACATAGTTTAGTTGTGAATAATATTTATAGGGCCTTACTAATATGAACACTATATAATAATTTTAAGTAAAAGGTGTGAAAAGCTCTACTGGAAGGTGGGAGAAGGACAAATGTATGAGTTGGGTGGGAAGGCAATGGGCATATAAGAGAGCATTTTGCATAGTTGAAAGTCAACAGAGAAAACTTAAAAATTAAAAATCAAGAAATAGATATATGAGAATTTTTAAAATATATAAGTAAAGAGCAGAAAAACTAGCTAAAAGAGTTGAGAGTGGTTGCTTTGGGCAATGAGGATTTAGGATGGGTAACAGATTGCTTTTACATTATAAACTTAGTAACACTTCTTATCTCTATAAAGTGTCTCCCAAACAACAAAAATATATTTAAAGAAACACACTGATATCCACCCATCCCCCCAAAAAGGCACAAAGGACTTTCTCTTTGGCTCAGAAAGAGGGAATTGGTGTGGAAAGGAAGGGAGAAGGAATCCTGGATGACCCTTGGGTTTCAGAACACTGAATGGGCGATGAGATAGAAAGGGCTGGGGGAGTAATGGGGTGAGGGGTGCATATCTTATACATTCGATATCTGTTAGACATCCAAATGGAAGTATCAGGAGGATAGCTGGATATCCTGAGCAGAGGTGAGAGGTCAGGGTTAGAGAAAAAATCTGGTAGATATCAACATTTGGACTGTAGATACAGACCATGAGATAAATAATACCATACAGGAAGACACTATAAAGAAATCATTGAGCACCTCTTCTGTCTTGCCTGATGCTTCTCTTAGCACACAGTGTATTTCAATAAATCTGCTTTTCTGTCCTCAAAAAAAAAAGAAAAAGAAA